CCCGGCTTCTCCCCTGCTCCCCCCGCAGCTCTTCTCCGCTCTCCGTCTGCCCCTGCTGCGCCTCTGCTGCTGGTGCACTCCTGAGCCGCGGCGGGGGCGTCAGGGGAAAAGCCTTCTGCATTGATTAGAAATACAGTACAGACACACACACAGACACACACACAAACACACACACGCACACACAGACATGCACAGACACAGAAACACACACAGACACAGACACACACACACAAACACACATACACGCACACACAGACACAGACACACACACACAAACACATACACGCACACACAGACATGCACACACAGAAACACACACAGACATGCGCAGACACAGAAACACACACAGACACAGACACAGACATACACACACACACAAACGCACACACAGACACACGCACAGACACAGATACAGCCACACACACACAAACATGCACAGATACAGAGACAGACACACACACACAAACATGCACAGACACAGAAACAGACACACACACACAAACACTCACAGACACAGAAACACACGTAGACACACGCACAGACACAGATACACAGACACACACACAGATACAGAGACAGACACACACACACACACAAACACGCACACGCACACACAGACAGACACAGAAACACACGTAGACACACACACACACAGAGACACACACACACATGTACAGGCACACACACAGACACAGAGACACACACAGAGACACACACAGATACACACACACATGTACAGGCACACGCACAAACACAGAGACACACATAGACACACACACAGAGACACACGCACAGACACACATGTACAGACTCATACAGACACTCAGACACAGACACAGAGATACATATAGACACACACACAGACCCACGTGCGTGCGCACACATGTACAGACACACACACAGACAGAAACACACACAGACACACACACACAAACATACACACAGACACAGAGACACACAAATGCACAGACACACACAGACTCAGACACGTGCACAAACACACAGACACACACACGCAGACACAGAGACACACACAGACACACAGACACAGAGACACACACCCAGACACACATCCTGCAGATGGCTTACAGTTACCAGTCTGTCGTGGCTCAAGTCTGTCTCACTGGCCAAATCAGACTGACCGTGAGCGAGGGGTTGGGGTTCACTGACCGCGATTCGAGGTGCCTCCAAGGCTTGGCTTGCAGGGCCGACCCCAGAGCCCCCTGGCAAAGACCCCCCCCCATCCTCAGGAGATCCCCTGGGCTTGGCTGTGCCAGGCGGTAGTCCTTGACGTGATCATCCGGGCGTTTTCCCTTGGCTGTCTGTGGTCTGGCTTCCTTATCGCGTTTGTGGGCTCCCCTTCGGGAGTGTCTGCCTGTCTCGGGGGCGCGTCTGTTCCGTTAATTGGTTCATCCTCGGCTCCCTGGAGGTTCTCCGGTCATCTCCACGTCTCTCAAGTCTTTTTGACCATCCGGATCTGCGGGATGATTTTCACACCCGTTCTTCGCTCGCACCACACAGCGTTACAGAGCACCCCAGACAAAGGACGACAGCGTTCCTAGAAGCCAGAATTTGGGAGAAGCAGGATGCAATAGCAGCCAACGGACCTTTATATAGGACTTATTATATCGTCATACTTGTATTCTTATACCAATGCTAAAATACTACGTGTGGCTACACTTGGGCCAGTGGCAGACTGCCACAAGAAAACCTTTTCCCCGTCTAAATCCCTGCTAACGACTCATTCGAACAGTATCCCCAGAGGATTTTCAACAGCATCTGCTTAAGTTAGAGAGTTGGGCTAGGTGATTTAAAACTAGCTTGCACCCAAGAGTTTTAAAAGAGCTGGCCAAGAAGAGGGCTGCTCCATTCATGCTGATTTTCAAAAAGTCTTGAAATGCTGGAGAATTCCCGGGAGATTGGAAGAAAGCAAATGTTTTGCCAACATCTGTTCCAGCCTAAAATGACGGACTGGCTCATACGGGAGATGGTTAATAGAAAAGAAAAGGAAGGAACATAATCAATGCCAGTCAATATGTGCTTACGGAAAATAGATTCTGTCAGTCTAACTTGATGCCTTTCTGATGAGATTGCAAGTTTGGTTGATAAAAGTAACAGAGTTGCTGTAACAGAGTTAGACCTTGCAAGGCATTTGACGTGCTACCACAGACCATTTTGATGAAGAAACGTGAATGATACAAAACCAACCTCCCACCATCCATTGGTTTAAAAGTCCGCTAGGTCCCCACGTGTAACTGTCCGCGGGGAATCAACGCTGAGAGGGCCTAACGGGTGCCTAGCGGGTTTGGCTCTTGTCCCTGACCCATGTCACATTTTTGTGACTTGGATGGAAACACCAAATCTCCGGTGATGAAGTTTGCGGCTGAGGCACATCTGAGGGGGGGGCTTAGGACAGGTCCGTGTGCTGTGGAGGGTGGCAAACAGGGAGTCAGGACACAGCGTATAGTTTGCCATGGCCATGGTGAAGTCACAGAGGTAGGGAAGAGGCAGGCAGGCGGGTAGGTCCACGCGCTGCCTTGGCGAGCTGGCCAGTTTTGTGTCTTAACCACCAGGTATCTCCTCGTGTGGTGCAATCCAGCTTGTCTCTTCGCCCGGCTGGTGACAAACTGCGTCAGAGGAGCCAATATCCTGCCCTATTCTCGTATCTCCAGCTGCCTGGCCCTCTCCGAGCAGCCAACGGTTTCCTCATCAAGAGCTGAGTAACTGAAGTCTCCCGTGCTCATAACCCTCTTTTGTGACAGGTCTCTCATCTGCAGAAACATCCTTCTCTTGGTCTCCTTCCAGTCAGCCTGGTGGGGGACGGGGTAAATCCACTTCCTGGCCTTCCATTTCCAGCTTTAACCGTATCTCAGTTCAAATCCTGGCCTCTATTTTTGTGTTTGCCCCTGTCCCTCTTGCGCCTTGGCCGGTCCTCTCGCTAAACTTTCAGCTCCCTTCATCTCCCTGGTCAAATGTGCTTTTCCAGCACAATCACACCGTGAAACATTAGAGCAAATACTCGTCCAGGAGCGTCACCGCTGACACCCGAGCCACTGACCAGCAGGTGCAGAACTTAGGTTCTTTGCCCTAAAAACTCTGGTTAAAAACTACTCGAACTGAGGGGGAATCGCCCCGAAGTATAGAAGATATGACACAGCAGAGCAGCTCCGATTCGCTCCAGCAGAGGGCAGTGCTGCTTACACACCACGCCACTACAGGCTCAGTGATATTCACCTCCTAAGGAAGTCCCTGAGCAAGAGTGACCAGACACCCAGCACGCCGCCCTGCGGGCAGGAGGCTCAACCCAGCTCCAGAGACGGATCCGTGTCTGCGTCCGATGAGAGATTTGGCAGGGGGAGAGCGGGAGCGTACTGCGACATGCTGCCTGCTTGTGGCTGCCTCCTTGGGCAAATGCTGATGGGCCAACACTGAAAAGCGCGGCCCAGTGAGCGGGATACAGAGCCCCCCACAACCCCATCCTCTCCAGACGTCGCCCTGTGCGTCCTGGGCTCACTGGCTCACCCCGTCCGGCCCAGCCCTGCTTTGTAACTGGCAGCTGGTTTCTGGCTTGGAGAGCGCTCGGGGGCCGAGAACCCCACCTGCAAGGTACAGTCACCCCAGGCACAGGCAGGGAGCCAACGCGCTGCCCTGTCCCCTCCCCTCCGGGGGGTGGGGGAGAAATTGTCACAGGTGCCGAGGTCAGCAGGACTAAGGGAGTTCCAAGCCAACTCCACCTCTGCCCTCTGAGTCGGTATGGAAGCATCGCCCAGCCTGGCGCTAGGGGGCTGGGTGGCTGACCCCGTAGGGGGCGCTCTGCCCTCTGAGCCGGTATGGAAGCATCGCCCAGCCTGGCACTAGGGGGCTGGGTGGCTGACCCCGTAGGGGGCGCTCTGCCCTCTGAGCCGGTATGGAAGCATCGCCCAGCCTGGCACTAGGGGGCTGGGTGGCTGACCCCGTAGGGGGCGCTCTGCCCTCTGAGCCGGTATGGAAGCATCGCCCAGCCTGGCACTAGGGGGCTGGGTGGCTGACCCCGTAGGGGGCGCTCTGCCCTCTGAGCCGGTATGGAAGCATCGCCCAGCCTGGCACTAGGGGGCTGGGTGGCTGACCCCGTAGGGGGCGCTCTGCCCTCTGAGCCGGTATGGAAGCATCGCCCAGCCTGGCACTAGGGGGCTGGGTGGCTGACCCCGTAGGGGGCGCTCTGCCCTCTGAGCCGGTATGGAAGCATCGCCCAGCCTGGCACTAGGGGGCTGGGTGGCTGACCCGTATGGAAGCAACACGGTTGCTGAGTGAGTTCAAGGCCATAGACAGGAAAGCCGCGTTGCAGATGCTCCCGGTCAGCCGGCTATGGGCTCACACCCTGTAAGGGCCCTGGACTTCCAGCCCCCGGTCAGCCGGCTGTGGGCTCACACCCTGTAAGGGCCCTGGACTTCCAGCCCCCGGTCAGTTTCACTGAGCCAGAGTCCTGCTCCGTAGATTTCAGGCCAGCTGATCTGATGTGCCAGGCCCTCGCCTTACGACCCCCTTTGCTTTCTCCCGGCAGCCAGAGAGCAGCTCCGGCGGTCCCGGCACAGCAGGACCTTTCTGGTGGAGTCGGGCGTCGGCGAGCTGTGGGCCGAAATGCAGACAGGTAGGAGGGGCCGCTTGCTCGTGAGCGGGAGGGCGGGGGCCCTTGGGGGCAGCAGGAGGCAGAACCCCACCCCCCGCCCCCAGGAAGGGATACGGCCACGTCGGCAGCCAGGACCCCCGGGTGCAGGGCCGCCACGCCCTGGTCCCACGACCGACCCCAGCCACAAATAGCCCAGCCCTGGGATGGACCCAGGCTGGTCACGAACGGCCCAGGGGTTTGCACAGCGCTTCGGAGCGCCTCCCGGTGTCACTGGACGGCCTCCCTCCCGCCTCTGTGAGGCAGGGCCGGGCATTTCTCCCCATCGCCCAGCTGGGGAAACCGAGGCACGGCGCCATGAAGGGACTGGCCACTGTCACATGAGGAGTCTCTGGCAGAGCGGGGCATTGACCTGCAACCTCCTAACTCCCAGGCCGCCCCCCAACCACCAGACCCTGCTCTCCCCCGCTATTCCCAGAGGGAACCGTTTCCCTTGCCCCAAGGAAAGGCGAGGTCAGACAGACGGACGGACGGGCTGTGTCTGAGGCCAGTGGTGTGACATGGGCGGGGGCTTGGCCACACAGGACGGCAAGCCAGGGTGACTCTCCAGCGCCCTGACGGGCCGCACAGCGGGAGAGGTGGCCACGCTTTGCCAGCAGCCTGCGGCGCTGGGCCAACCTGCCCTGGCTCTCCTGGGTCCCCTCGCTGGTGGGCACCAAGGGACCAAGAAAATCAGGCGGGTGCCACTTCCCCCTCCCGGCGCCCACGAGAGCTCCCGAGAGGAACCCCCACCCCTGGAGCCAGCCAGAAACGGTCTGCCACGAAACAGAGCCACGTGGGGCCTGCCACAGC